TCTTAAAACTCGTCGCATCACATCGAAGTTCGGACGTCTGGCCAACGTCACGACTGTTGCCACCGTTGATGTCTGCCAGAATTCTCTACCTGCCGACCTTTCCTCCACCATTCGCCAGATTGTACGGGGGGAACTGCGTCGCCATGTCTCTGTTCTCATGCAAGCTGGAGACCCGCAGTGTGATACACTATCCCCAAAGCATCAATGCTGCGAGTTTAGACGAGCGCAGTTACTCCACCCGCAGTCCACTGCTGAGGGCTCCGCCACCACAGGCCACTTACGTCGAGTCTCCTCCTCCTCTTCGTCGAATCTTCGCTAGCGCGTTTCGCTAGCGCGTCAAATGGGTCCTGGAGGTGTGCGTTGACTACCGACGTCTCAACTCTATAACTAAGAAGGACGTGTACCTGCTTCCTCACATCGATGATGTCATCGACTGCCTGCATTCAGCGTCCTATTTTTCATCGGTGGACTTGTGATCCGGGTATTGGCAGATCCCCATGGATCCGGCTGACAAAGAAAAGACGGCCTTTGTTACACCCGACGGTCTGTTAGAGTTTAATGTTATGCCATTCGGCTTGTGTAATGCCCCCGCCACATTTGAAAGATATATGTACACCGTTTTACGGGGCCTCAAATGGGAAATTTGCCTGTGTTACCTGGACGATGTGGTTATTTTTGGCCGAACATTTGAAGAACATAATCATCGCCTTGACCTCGTTCTTACCTGTCTCGAGGAAGCTGCGCTTACACTGAACTCAAAAAAAAAAAAATGTCGCTTTGGAGAACGTGAAACCTTGGTTCTGGGACACCTGGTGGATAAAAATGGCGTGAGACCGGACCCGCAGAAAGTCGCCGCTGTCAGCAACTTCAAGCAGCCGCAGTCCCCCAGGGAGTTGCGTAGCTTCCTGGGCCTGTGTTCTTAGTTTCGTCGATTTGTTCCGAATTTCGCTGATAAAGCACAACCACTGACTGACTTGCTGCAAAAGAATGTCCCTTTCCACTGGACACCGGATTGCGAAGCAGCCTTTAAGCAGCTTCGGTTCATACTGACTTCAGGACCGGTACTTCGCCATTTCGATCCTTCTGCTGAAACGGAAATTCACACAGATGCCAGTGGAATCGGCCTTGGTGCAGTGCTCGTTCAGCGCCATGACAATGCTGAACACGTGGTCGCTTACGCGAGTCGTTCGTTGAGCAAGGCAGAACGAAATTACACAGTCACAGAACAGGAGTGCCTCGCAGTCGTTTTCGCCGTGCACAAGTTTCGCCCATACATCTACGGCCGTCGCTTCTCGGTAATCACCGACCATCATTCTCTATGCTGGTTGGTAGGCCTCCGAGACCCATCTGGACGACTGGCGCGATGGGCTTTGCGCTTACAGGAGTTCGACTTCACAGTACGCCACAAGAGCGGTAACCGGCACGCAGACGCCGACTGCCTATCGCGCCTTCCTCTACCGACGACGGAGTGCGACGCTGACAACTTCGACCAGTATATCGGCCCTATTGTCTCTGAGTTCCCTGATCTCGCGACTTTCCGGACAGCCCAACAAGAGGACCGCTCCTTAGATTCTCTGTTCGCCTCCGCAAATGAACACGCAAACCCAAGCTCTTTTGTGGTTCATGACGGCGTCCTTTACAAGAAGAATTATTCCGGACAAGGCGCCCGTCTGCGTCTAGTTGTTCCACGCACTTTACGGGCTCACGTCTTTCGGTCCTTACACGACGACGCAACCTGCGGCCACATGGGCTTCGCCAGAACGCTTCAACAAATCCAGCAAAGGTTCTATTGGCCCAAGATGCGACACGACACGGAAAAATACGTTGCTGGATGCGAACAATGCCAACGACACAAACGTCCCACGGCTAGGCCGCCAGAACTTCTCCATCCTGTTCCACCTCCTAACTCTCCCTTCGAGACTGTAGGTGTCGATCTGCTCGGTCCATTTCCACGATCGAGCAGTTACAATCGATGGGTCGTCGTCTGTGTTGACCACCTAAAGCGCTACGCAGAAACTGCTGCAATACCTGCTGCAACGGCCATGCACGTGTCGCAGTTTATGCTTCGCTGTATAATTCTCCGCCATGGTCCTCCACGCGTTGTCATTAGCGACCACGGACGTCAGTTCGTTGCCGACGTCGTTGAAGAGATCCTGCGTCTGTCTGCCTGCCATTTCCGCCATGCCACACCATATCACCCGCAGACCAATGGTCTCGTAGAGCGCACGAACCGGACTCTCACGAACATGCTGTCTATTTATGTCGATTCTAAGCACAAAAAATGGGACGAAGTGCTACCTTACATCACGTACGCGTACAACACCGCGAAGCATGACACTACAGGTTACTCTCCATTTTACCTGCTGTACGCTCGCTCCCCATGATTTTGTCTCGACACTATACTACCTTTTACACTAGACGTGGAAACCTCGACAGCCGAGACGCTCTGCCGCGCAGAAGAAGCCCGTCGCATCGCACGCCTCCGAACCTTGGGATCCCAGCAGCGTTCTAAGAAACGTTACGACGCCTGCCATCGCTCCGTATCTTATAGTAAGGGCGATCTTGTGTGGTTATGGACACCAGTCCGCAAACGTGGTTTGTGCCAGAAGTTCTTGGCTCACTATTCCGGTCCATTCGTCATTCTTGACCGCCTCAGCGACGTCACGTACGTAATCTCGAGCGTCACAAGCAATGGTCGCCGCTCTAGCAAAACAAAACTGACACACGTTACGTGCCTTAAACCGTGCCACCATCATCCATCTGAGTGACTCGCCCAGAGGGCATCGTCTGCGAACCGGGAAGTGAAACGCGCTAGCGAAGATTCGACGAAGAGGAGGAAGAGACTCGACTGGCTCGCGAGCGACGCTGTGGATCCTTCGCTGAGCTACACCTCTGCATTACCCATCTTGTAAATAAACGCGTTCCATCGTCACAATACATATATATATGTGTGTGTGTGTGTGGGGGGGGGGGGGGGGTGTTAGATTCGGGGCCACCACTGCCGGGATTCGATCCCACGACCTACGTGTCAGCAGCCGACTGGCTTACCCACTAGACCACCATGGCGGGTATGATGTTACTCGAGAACTTTGAATTGTGGATTACTACAATGTAATCCATAATGTTGAAGTGGCTTGTGTCAGTGAAATTTTTGTATATTGCTGCATTCGGTGTGATGGGTAGCACGCTTTAAACCACGAGCAATTGTGCGCGTGAATGATTTTTCTGCTTGAAATGCACCCGATACGTCGTCCTAATGTGTGTGTCATTGTAATGGATGACCGGCTTCAAACCGCAAATTCGTATAACCACACGTTCTGACAACCGATTGCAATGTACGCTTGCATCACGCAATATTACCGCGATAATACAGGCATTGTGAAGCTTGCATGCAGGACGCGTGTATTTGTGAGGCATGAACGTTCTTTTCACTGCGTTTGCAAGCAGTGGAATTTGTTTTTCCTGTACTTTCAAGCAGACGCGTCGCTGCGTGGTAGAACCTCTGCTTGCCACGCAAACGGCTTGCGTTTAATCCCGCCTCGGACCCGGAAATTTTTATTGTTTCATTTGCATGTTTCTCGATTTCTCGGTCACGCACAAGATCACCATTTTTCTCTCAGAAATAAGGGCACAAGCACCACAATTTCTGCGAAAGGAGCTCTTCAACTCCCTCGCGTTAATGTGAACAAGGAGATAACCACCGTCGATTTGATTGATTTGTGGGGTTTAACGTCCCAAAACCACCATTTGATTATGAGAAACACCGTAGTGGAGGGCTCCGAAAATTTGGACCACCTGGGGTTCTTTAACATGCACCTAAATCTGTGCACACGGGCCTACAACCTTTCCGCCTCCATCAGAAATGCAGCCACCGCAGCCGGGATTTGATCCCCCGACCAACGGGTCAGCAGCCGAGTACTTTAGCCGCTAGACCACCGCCAGCAAGGCTAACCACCGTCGGCACCCGCACCGATGCTTACCATACGTACAGGGATGCTCCTTGTGTTCTGCATCTATGAACATTTCACCTCGGTCAGCTTTTCATGTACAATACGGAACAGCAAGCCCCCAACCCAGAGTCAGGATTTTTATTCAGAAAACTTCACGAAACCTGTAGGTCACTTCGTGGTAGTGTTGTTTTTTCTTTATTTATTCAGTTTTATACAAATGCAGGTCTTCAAACAAGAAACAAACAGGGACGAAAACAAACCTTGATTCTTTTCACGCTAGTAACAAAATATATATTTTTTAAACTGTTGGCCGTTCTAGACTGACATGCGTTTAAAACAGTAATCGGTTCCAAACGAGTAACCCACATTCGCGTGCAACAGTCGGTTAGTGCACAATGCCGAAAATCGGCAGACGTCAAATATACTGTCAGCGGTTCTGTGAGAATGTCAAGTCATCCGTGTAATACTTCTTTATCCGCCACTGTGCCTTGCATTGCTCGCACTCATGCTCCAAGAAGGCGCAGGCGGGGCTATTACGCTACAGCGTTTATGGCAATGTTCAGTGATGACAGGTTTAGAGTGGTTATACCTGCGATGCTTGGGTGTGTGCAGTGAGTCGACCGTTCTAGCGCTTGCGTCAGCGAGTTGTAACGCTGAGAAAAAGAAAAGCTTCCCGGCCAGTTTAGGAATAAAAACTAAATGAAGAAAGCCCTGTCGGCCAGTCCTTCCTAATTTCTATTTCTCACTAAAGCAGCTTTAGAAGCATAAGCTGTAAATGAGGATGTGGCATTAATGTACTTTTTTTTCACCGACAGACTACCGCTATAACACAAAAACTTTTCTCAAGTACAAAGCGCGTACGTATGAACGGTCTAGTAGCGTAGCCAGGGAGTGGTACATCGGGTCTGTGCCCCCTCCCCCTCCCCGGTCACGAAATATTTTTTTTTGCCATAGCATACAAAGGGAAAAGATGACCCTTTCAAAGGGATGCCCTACCCGAAATAAAAAAAAGGACCCCCCCCCCCCCCCCCCCGGAAAAAAAAATTCTACCTACGTCCCTGGAACGATTCATGTGATGTGATTGGATACCTACAACACTCGCCGTAAATCCCTGAGATATGTTATTGCTTCTCTCGTTTGTCTTATGTGCGCTACAACGATCGACTCCAGGCACGACCACGAACCGAGCGAGGCGCAGAAGGGTGTCATTTACCACGGGGTCTTCGTTTTGACGCAAATGCCCTCCGAAGGCCTCAACACGCGACGCAAAATGAATATGCAGCGATCGCGGAAGGCGGCAAAGCGACCCGTATGCACAGTGACTACACAGCGCTTGCTCGCTCCCGAAACGGAAAGTATGTCCTACTTCGCAACGCTCATTATTTAGAACTCGTGACTAGCTTTCTGCTGCATAGATACTCATGTCGCATGTGCATTTGATACGGGAAAAGTATGAAACAGTGCTTGCCACGGGAGTGTACTCGTAGGGCGGAAGCGTCAGGGCTTCCTGTACGTCATATGTGATACAATGAATATGTAGTTCTCAACGAAACAAGCCTAGTTAGAAGATGGCTGAAACGATCGCTTTGTACGAAATATGCATAGCGGTGTTCTCTTAGAAAGCACTTGCATTTCCTTTTAGGTCGTTCATGAAGGCAACAGCACTATTTTATTTTCAATTGGTGGAATGTTCAAACTGTCTGAGCGTGTCAAATTGGCGCAATCCACACCACGAGTGGTGTTTGGCGCTTTTATGATATCGTCTACAACAGTGAATTATATTTAGCCATTCTTTATGTCCTTGCGTGCAGGCATACTTTACTAGTTTAACTTACAAAGTCCTTCTAGCACGAACTTGAGAGTATGAGTGTGCATTTTTCTCGAGAAATACAGAGACGTCCAGGTTATATGCTTCCATGTGCCAGCTGGTACAAATGCTGGTGACGAGTATACGTGTGGGGTGGTTTAACATTTTACACAAATTTATCACCGAGCAAATTGTCTAGCCAGCCTGGGGAAGATGTTGCACCAGGTAATGAGAGCTAACCCAATAATAATGCTTGAGACAGTTTGTCCGAATTTACGGAGATATGTTTTAAAGTTGATATCAGAACACGATTATGCATATATCTGTTTTCAAACTGTGCATATTTATGGGATCTTGTGGCTTCCTCGAGTATGTCAGAAGTACGTATTTTAGGCCATCGTACGCCTTTATGAGATAAAGTTCTAACGGGCGTGGCGTTCCTGCTTCGCAGTGTAAAGATGTGATCCTTATTTTTTCTACCATAAAAAAAAAAACAAGAACGTGGCACGTACTGCAAGCAGTTGCCTATTGATGGCAAAGTTGTTCACCGGTACCCCTAATATTCGCAATCATTTGTCGTGTATAATATTGAAGTAGTGAGTGTCGACGACGTTCATACAACAACTTAAAAGAAAAAAAAATGTCGCATTCGAGAGATTCAAGAGACGCCCTGTGTGCCACGAGGGGCATCCGTGGCATCCAGGGCACTCGGCAGTGGCCGACTTGTTGCCCTGTTCGGGTCGCTAGTTGGGTCGCTGTAAAAAAAAAAAAAAAACCCAGCAGATACACGATTTACGTCTGTTAGTTTGGTAAATACACAACTTCGTGAACTTCCAGACAGCTCGTTATAGGTTCACGGGCAACTATGAGTAACGAACTCACCGAACACGCGAGTGAGTTGTTACGTGAGAGTTTCACGCATACCGCACGTTACACATCCCCGCCATATCGCCTTCTCTCCCCATAAAAAAAAGAGCTTAATACATGAGGAGGGGATGAATGCCAGGGGGAAACTCGCGGAAACGCTGGTCTTTGAACAAGTGAAACAGCCGCATCGACATCGTCACCACGGCGGTGGCGTGAAAGTTTGACCTATGTCGAGCGCACGTCCCGAACTTAAGCGCTATTTTGGACACTGAGCGCGCTCTTTAACGTCGTCCAACTCGCCATCTCGTCAGGTTTTATCAGGGGACCGAGGTCGTGCTCCATCGGCCCAAGATGTTGTCAACACGGTGGAACTTGAATACATCTAGGACACTCCCGCAGATCTGTAAACTCGCTTCACTTTGTTCGCTGGAAGCCACCGAGTGTTCCGCTTAAGAAAATCCACTCGGGGAAAGGGCACGTTGCGTCATCTGCCCTGCAGTATGTCAAGCAGAGATACACACGTACCGGCAACAATATCCTACGGCCAGAATATACAGGCAAGATATATATTGCCAAGTATCAGAGTCATCGTGCGCAACACGAGGATAAGGACGAGTCGTGACCCAAAGCGGCATATACATGTATGCAGCTCTTCGTCACCGGTATCTGCATTCAACAGTTCGTAGCCTGCGAACGTAAAGACGGTTGCGTCACCTGACTAACGTTCTTACGCACGGCAGTTATTCCCAGTGTCGTGCGCCTGCACGACGGATGCACGGTACTCGCGATTATGTACACAAATTTCAGCGCAGGTCACACACGCGGCATAGCGTTATTCCACGTGTCGTATGAATTGAGAAGTGAGCAAGTTTTCCCGTATTTTTTTCTTCTTCCGGATAGGGTGACATACTGGAAGCCTTCGTCGAGGGAACCTCTGCGAGGTTGCCGACCGCCCCCAGGAGAGCAGCCACTTGCTACGTCAGCCGTCGTCCTGCGAAGATAGCTCCGTGTCGCTGGCCTGCGGATACAAGCAAAAAAAAAAAAAAAACGTCATGCCACTGGATGCCATAGCAGGGCCTGTAAAGGGCTTAATCAGCCTAGTCAAAACACATTTCAGAATGCACAGCAGCTTCGTACAGCGCCGCAGATACCGACGAACTCTGTGGTTCATTTGACCCTGCGGGCATACGAGGGTGCTGTTGAGGTCCGAATTTCAGCATAAAATTTGCCGCTTAATGGTAATAATTAAAGCTGTGCACTTTTACTTCACCAATCACACGCAACTAACTGTATTGCCAGAAATGCGCTTTACGTGACACCGGCTTTTATCCGAGCAGATCACCACGATTATAGGCGGGCGCACAAAGAAGGGGGAGGGGGGCGGCCCCCCCGCTCCCATAGTAACCTCATATGGGGGGGGGGGTCGCCAATTTTGCCACATACTTTGACATAGTATGGGTGGCAAGGCTTTAGTCATGCAGACAATGTTCTGCAATTTGCCTTGCAATCCAAGACTCGCTCTGTGTCTTAAATCAATCACATATTATTATTATTATTATTATTATTATTATTATTATTATTATTATTATTATTATTATTATTATTATTATTATTATTATTATTATTATTATTATTATTATTATTATTATTATTATTATAGCAAAGGGGGCACGGTGAGAAAAACCTTCGCACCCCTGAAGGGGCACCTTGCGCATGCCTATGACCACCAGTGGCGCAACAAAATAGGATGGAGGTTAGAACCCCCAAACATTTTCAGTTTTGCTTGCGTGTATATACACGCACACGTGCAAACGCACGCACGACTACATAAATTGTGTGGAGTCTCGAAACGGAGATCGCCACGCTCTTGGAGTGAATGGTCATAGTAGGCACGGTCGGAAAGAACCAAACCAACACACATTTATTTAACTACTTTCAGAACGACGGTATCGTCAGCTGAATTAATATAAAATCAATTGTGATCCACACGCTAAACAACCTTACACAACATTACACAATAGTAAACAACATGACAAACAAGGCGGTGTCACTAGCGATCGATTCACCACAAGGGCCCCACAAGGGACCACAAGGGCAGACCACCCGCGGTGCCGTGCTCCGGAGTTCCACTGCGAGAGACAACCGTTCACGCCAAACGCCACCAGCCAAAGAGACTCGCCCTCGTTCCCCCACCAAGGCTTGCCGCCAGTGGTCACCGCCGGCGCTACCGATCTAAACATGATGATGATGGTGGTGGTGATCAACGTTCGCGAACGCAACGCCACCAGCCGCTCAACAGTTGCGACCCCAAAATACGGCTTCTGCGCAAGGTATGCGCGCCACGCGGCGCAAACAACTTCACAAGTGGTGTCAGCACCCTCACAAATGTAATTTAACCCCCTGCCTCGAAAACATTTACGACTACGCCCTTAGACGACAACTATGTTGCCAAAAGGCGATCAACCTTACTAACACGTAAATAAAGAGGAGGGCATGAATACAGGCTACTTACTACATATAGGTTCAAACTACGAGAAACAGAAAATGAATCTTGCTGCAACTCTGCTGATTTTCTTGAGTAGGACGAAGGACTGTCAGAGCGATGTTATCGCTAAGGAACGGGAGCTCACTCCACACCAACTCGGTTTCTTCATTAACAAACCACAGGTGGTGCGCATTACGTACCATAACGCGAACCACCTGGCCGCAAGAGGTGCAAAGCTCCAACTAATGGACACCATGCTCCCTCCGTTCAGTCGACTCAGTAGCAGAGTCAAGACGCAGTGATTTTAGAAAGCCAGGTTGAAGTGTGTAGTTTTGAAGTTTTTGCAGCCGGACTTTAAGTGCGAAATAACGGTCTACCTGAGTGGTCCGAAAATCTTGAACGTAGAATACTGACAACAATTGACAATACCATTCCACTTTTAAATGCGAAGCATTTTTTTTGCGTACTGCTGACAAGAGAATCGACACTTTTGGATACAAAGCAACTGTTGTGTAGATCACACCATCAGACAGCTCTCAAACACCACAACGTAGATGACGAGCATGATCACCAGAATCTCTAACAAAAGATGAGGTATGAGGTTCTCCCTCATACCTCACTTGGGGACACTAGCAGGCTAGTAGAGGCTCTCGTGGTCAGTGGATCATATGCAGTGTACTTTACCAAAGAGCCCTCACTCAAGAAAAAGAATTAAAGGCGATCATTAGGAAAGCTTACAAATGCGCCCTCGGTTTGCCAGTCAACACTGCGACGTACAAATGTATGAATCTGGCCATAAAGACACAGTGCGCAAGCACACCGAGGCACATTCTTTCGCAGAAAATACTGGCTCCAACCGGTATATACACGCTGCAAATATTGGGCAGGAGGAATCTTGCGGAGAAAAGAACACTTGAGAGAGCACACCGAGGTATACATTCGCCACGTGATTGACATCAGATCATTACCTACAAACACGCATTCGAAAGTACATGAGGCCCAAAGAAAAGCAAGAAATCATAAGCACACGATCAAAATTTCGTATCGTACGTTGACGCGACCACATACAGAGGGCAGTAGTAAGCTTTGTTGATCACCAGCTTAAGGAAGTCAACAGTGGCTCGATCAAAAGCAACAACGTCCTCGTGGCTCAGGAAGTAGCTTGCCATCACGCACCAGAGCGAAGAGTCCACTGCAAAAAACTCCCAAGCATTTCCCCGAGGGTGAACATGGTTAAGTGCGAATACACGGGGTGATGTTATGAGGGGTATTTATTAATTCGCACTATTATATTTATTAATCACTCTATGGTGCCATTATGGTGTAATGGTTCCTGGGAATCGCAATTTGGTCACACGGGGGAGTTTACGTTAACTCACTGGCGAATGCCAACGGATTTTAACTTTACTCCCCCTCACGACCCGCTCTCGACGGGAGACTGAGAGAGAAGGCGGGCGCGCGAGAGAGAGGGGTGCGCGCGCAGCTGCAGCGAGCGAGGAGAGCGGAGGAGCGAGCGAAGGGGGAGGGGGTATAAGGCGCGTTACTGACACCGATATCAGCGTCGCGTCCGTGGCTTATTCGGTAGAGCGTCGCGCTGCGGCCCGCCAAGTCCTCTTTCTTTTAAAGATAGAGAGAAGACTGCGGACGCCGCCGACGGCGGTGGATGGTTTGGGGTCGCTTATAAAGTGTATTCACACTTAAAATCGTTACAGACTTGAAAGAAGCGTGCAGCAGCAAACGCATATCCACTGCTGCCATCAGCATACTCAAGACGAGAAAAATCGTCTTTTCGAGATGCTCCGTTATGTGGACAACGGGCCATGAAATCGTGACAGGGAACCAGAGTGCCGAAGCCAATGCCCAATCATACAGCAACAAGGCGGCGGAGGGCGGCACAGCGACGAGGAACCAGCGCTACAGTTACTAAATGCTATGGAGCGATTTTAGAACATCAAGGCGCTCTGAGGATGATTTACCCTCTCCCAACAAAGGCATCACTAAGGAGAAATTGTTTGCTTGGATACAGCTGCAGACAAATACATACCCAAATCTTAGTCGTCTTAGCAAAATCTATCCGGCAATTTATGACAACAAATGCCTGACTTGTGGAGGACATCCAACACATCATCACGTAATATGCGCCTGCCCACGCTCAAGGGTAATGACAAGAAACAACACAGCAACACAGGAGCAGTTGGAGGCTGCACTGTGCATGCTCGAAGCCTGAAGAACAACTCAAGCTGATCGAAACAGCTCGCAAAGGCCACAGCGAACCTTGACTGAGGCCTCCTCCTTAGCCAGAATAATTTCTTTCCAACGAATTGATTCATTCATTAACATTTCATCGCTTTGGCAATGCTTTGGCAACATGCTTTGGCAACATGGCCACCATGCTGAGAAATAGTGGTCGACGATTCAGAATGATATATGTGGGGTTTAACGTCCCAAAACCAGCCATATGATTATGAAATACGCCGTAGTGCAGGGCTACGGAAGTTTCGACCACATGGGGTTCCTCAACGTGCACCCAAATCTAAGCACACAAGCCTACAGTATTTTCGCCTCCATCGGAAATGCAGCCGCCGCAGCCGAGATTCGATCCCGCGACCTGCGGGTCAGCAGCCGAGTACCTTAGCCACTAGACTACCGCGGCGGGGCAATGAGTCAGAGTACGCTGTGCTCTAAATATGCCCATGGTACGTGTTAGGAATACCTGTCTGTTTCGGGCAGGTGTGGAGGGGGGGGGGGGTAGAAAAAGTTGTTAACAATTTAGAGTACTTGGTACTCTACTATGGGAGAGCTGAAAGCCGTCCAGTGGGCCTCACACTTGATGTCTTCAGAGCACATGTTCAACAAATTAGAGCACGCAGTACTCTACTATGGTAGAGCATTACGCTGTATCGATACAAAATCGAAAAATAGTAAGGAGACCAAGACGAAATTGTGTTTGGAAAAAGTGTTTAACGACTGAGACTACTTGGTACTCTACGATGGGTGAGCAGAAAGCCGTTTCCGGTGAAGTGGTTATATACAAAGCTAAAGTTTGAAAATTAGCGTTTTTCTCTGCGGAGTTTTTCATCACTTTATTTTGAATAGCTTTATTCAAATAGCTGAACAGTAAGCGATGTGCTCTTTTATCAGAAAGAACCCTAAGAATTGACTGTAAGCGCACAACTGCAAATATAACTGGAAGGGTCAATGATAGCTTATCACTTATTACAGCAACATTATGCGAAACTGTGGCGGTCCTCGGTCAATGGGTGCGTATTTTTCGCAGGACTCAAACTTTTTACCAGCGAATCTGAACCGCTCGCGTTTTCTCCTGCAGCAGCTGTACAAACGCTAGAATTAGAGACAGAAAGAATAGAATTTTGATAGTGAAGTTACAGAGAGCGTGGGTTGCGTGGCGTGACCTTTCTACGAATTCTGCGACATGCACGGTGGCATTCGAAGCATTTCTCGCCCGTAGTTTCACATCACGATACGTAGGGTATATATAGAATCTACTGCACTACTTTTGAAATGCACCTTTT